TAGAATAGAATAGAATAGAATAGAATAGAATAGAATAGAATAGAATAACAGAGTTGGAAGGGACCTAGGAGGTCTTCTAGTCCAACCCTCTGCTTAGGCAGGAAACCCTACACCACTTCAGACAAATGGTTATCCAACATCTTTTTAAAAACTTCCAGTGTTGAAGCATTCACAACTTCTGGAGGCAAGTTGTTCCACTGATTAATTGTTCTAACTGTCAGGAAATTTCTCCATAGTTCTAAGTTGCTTCTCTCCTTGATTAGTTTCCATCCATTGCTTCTTGTCCTGCCCTCAGGTGCTTTGGAGAATAGTTTGACTTCCTCTTCTTTGTGGCAGCCCCTAAGATATTGGAAGACTGCTATCATGTCTCCCCCAATCCTTCTTTTCATCAAACTAGACATACCCAGTTCCAGAACTGTTCTTCATATGTTTTAGCCTCCAGTCCCCTAATCATCTTTGTTGCTCTTCTCTGCACTCTTTCTAGAGTCTCAATATCTTTTTTACATCATAAATGGGTTAGGTTGAGAGATAGTGATTGGCCTAAAGGCATCCTGGGAGCTCTGAAATCAAGCAACTGGTAGTACTGGTAGTAATCTTGGATCAGCAGGTTACCAATTTACTTTATTGGCTCTGTATAAAATTAAATGCCCACATAATCCATGTTGTCGTCAAAACGATCATTGGAAAAGATGTAAAAAGTAGGATTTAAAAGTAAATAGGTTGATTGAAAAATATTTCTGAAGTCAAAACATGCCTGGTTTATTCATAAGTTTTCACTACAGAGCCTCCTGGATATTTTTGGTTTCTTTTTCTTTTTTTCATATAATTAAATCATTTCTAAACCAACTACCATTGTCTAACATTCATTTCGGGCTCTGAATGGAATAATATTCTTGGAAACCATATAACTTTTGGTTTTTTTTGCTGCAGCAGGATAACCAAAAATAAATCATATAAATGCAATAGCAGAACAATCAAAAATAGATTATGTAAATGCAGTACCAGAATAACAAAAATAAATTATGCAAATGCAATCGCTCTAAAACATTTCCATTCCCTAAACCTAAGAATCTCTCATTCATATAAAGTGGCTATTTCTATGCAAGTGAGTTTGAAGAAAGATAATATAGTCTCTTAGCAGCTGAATGAATGACTCACCATAAGGAACACCCAAGAAAAATAACATTACATCCAAGTCTTCTTTTCTATATTTTTCAGTTGTTGTTTCCCAGCTTTTAAAAACTTTCCAGAAAGACTTTGTCTCTCTTAATTATAAGTATTCCATGAATCCATTGTATAATACTGCAGGCAACTAGGTTGCCATCTTCTTCCTGATTGATTCTCTATTTTGGTTCATGAGCTGTCTGCATGCAACTTAGCTCTCTCCTTCAGATGATAAGTGTTCTGAGAATCAATCCATATATTCGTTACATGAAGGTTTGTGGTACCTTGGATACTTTTTTTCCTGACATAATGGTACTTCTGGAATGCCCTTTCTTATCTAACAAGTCTGCAAGAACTTTCCAAAGTTGTGACTATTTTTTTCCTTTAGTTTTTTTTCTCTTCGGTTAGCCTTATTTAGCCTTGCATTTCCTACTGTTGCCCAACACAAATTCAGTACATTAACTTAAGCATAATAAACACATAATATGATTTTGTTCATCACAATCTCTGTGAATCACGTATAAAGATATTGGATCTGTGCAGAAACCACATCAGAATAATTTCTAGCTGAGTCTTTGGCCAGAAGCCTATCCCATTACACGCAAGTGTAGGTTCTCTTTCCACTAACTTCCTTTTTACTTGCTGCAAGCATTTGCACCATTGGGAATCAGAACTAGCTGAATTTCTCTTCCCATCTTTTTTCTTCTTCAGCATCTTCCATTCCTCTTTTGTAGTCTACTTTTCTGCCCTGGAGATTCAGTTGGCTGTGACAATGCCTCTCCATCAATTGTGTCTAGTAGCTATTAATGTTTTCTGTGGGAAAATATGTTTCCTGGTTCCCTCACCTTCCTGCTAATAAAAAAGATCAAAAGCTGGTGTTCCGCAATGAGTTAGTTTGCTTCCCAAAACAAATCAACCCAGCAAGTACATAAGTGATTATACTGTCACTTTTATTGCAGGTTCTGTAGCTTTACACAGAGAAACCTGAGATCTCGCCCAGAAAGTCTGAAAAAGTATTCAAGATCTTCCCCTTGATAAGGAAAGATACCCTAGATTATATAAAATATGAAGATAATGGGTTCCTGCATGGGAGAGTACCATAGTCAGTATCCAAGATACTGATCTTTGTCCCAACGTTACTGTCTGTTTGTACTAGCAGAAGAAAGAAAGAAAGAAAGAAAGAAAGAAAGAAAGAAAGAAAGAA